GTGTGTGTGTGTGTGTATTATTGATCATTAAACAAAATCCAACAAATACCAAACATTTCATTGTCTAACACTTTTATAACTTGAAGCATCTTCCATTCTTTTTATATTCATCACATTTAACATATTTGATTTAATTATTTATTTAATAAAAAAAAATTAGGGACCGTTTACCAAACACTTATCCGGTAAGTGTTTACGGGTAAAATTTAACACTATTATTTACTTATCGAGTAATATTTTAGTCCACCAAAACGACATTGTATGCAACAATTTATCCGATAAGTGCTTACTGTGGTAAGAGTCGTCTCCTTCACTTACCGGGTAAGATTCATGGTTCTTGTCTCGCTCTTACCGGGTAAGATACTAAGATTCTTGGTCCTTATCATATTCATCCGGTGAGGTAACGTGACTTGGTAAACGCTTATGAGGTAAGTGTTTGGTAAACGGCCCCTTAGAAATCAGATAATATTTTAGATCTTTTTGATCAACGTATATGATAATTAAAAAAGTTACAAATACATGTAAGGGAGCATCTTTTTGACTCACTCCGCAGCTGAGACTACCCGGGGGAATCTAACCCGAGATTTGTCTTGTATTTGAGCAAGGTCACATCGTCGTTTTACCAACTGAGCTACATGTTAGAAACGTTTCAGCTTATTAGTAATGAACATTTTTATTTGATTATGTTTATCTTCATTTAATGATTATCCTAATTATATTCTAGATTTTTTATATTAAAAATGAGATGTTTATCACGTATTTGATTATGTTTATCTTCATTTAGTTACACGAATTCAAACATGGAGCTTTAATAAGTTGTACTTATATATAATTTACTTGTAATCTTGAAATTTAAGTAATATGCATCCATAAACAGTACTTATTGCATAAAAAATGGTTTTAAGAGTCTTTGTCAAATGCTTTATAATATAGTACAAATGGATTACAAAAAACGATGGATTAGTTGAATTGAGACCCCAGATCAAGCCATGTGTAATCGGTACGACCATTCAAGATTTTTCCTTGCATCTATCATGGCTATGTGGATGTTGCAGTGTGAGGTTTGTGAAGGGTTTTAACGTAGCTGTGAGAAGTCTGTATCAACCTGTATGAACTTTTAATATGTTTTAGCAGTAGCACGACCATTTCATGTGCAAATAATATATCATCCAAAACAGATCCCGACATAATCAGTCCCTGTCAAAAAAGGACGGAACGGTTAAGGTGTATCAGGCCCGGTTATGACACCCGGTCTCGGTCTTGGGCCAGCCCCAACTTGGTCCCACTTAATTTTTTTAAATTGATTTTTAACATATAAAAAATATTTTTTGAATAATTTGGTTAATCAGATACACTAACAAATACATTTTTTTATTATAATTGAGTCAATCAAACACACTAAAAGAATACGTTTTTGTTATAAATAATTTGGTCAATCAAATATAGTTAAAATAAAAAATCGAGGAGGGCCTTATTTTTGGTGGAATATCGTAGCCAATCCCGGACTATCGGTCCAAAACCGTTCCTAAGTTGGTCCCAGGTCGGATCGAACCCTTTTCTATCTCTAGAAGTAAGCAAAAGAGGGCCGGTCAAATAAGGGTAATCGGGCCGGCCCACCTTGGATTTAAGGCCCATTTAAGTGAACTTTCCCCTTTTTATTTGGAATGCATATTTTGGGACATTTATAATATGTGTCAGATGTAGTTTGATTGGTTTTTTATTAAGAGGTTGTTTGATTAGTTTTTCATTAAGTCAAATAAACATAAAATTGTCTCTGTGGATTAAACTGTCTGAATAGATTGATAAAGTTTTTATTTAAGAGAGTTTTTTCAAAAAAAGAGCGTATTTTTAATTGGGAAGGACATGCTTGAAAATAAAATTTTGACTTTCTGCGTAAAGTTTCCTCCTAGAAGCTTATTGAATAAATTATTTTTTATATCATTAAGCCACTATCAAACAATTATGTATTGTTGACACTGTAAGTCTCATTAAGCTCATTAAGCTGCTAACAAACATGCCCCTAGTCTTATATGGATAAAACTGTCTCTGTGGATTAATCTGTATAGATTAGGAAGTTTTTTTTAAGAAGGTTTTTTCATAGATGGAATGAGCATGTTTTTTAATTGGGACTTGTCACTGGAGTGACAAGTTTGGAAAAAAATTGGTTTTCTGTATACATCTTTTGTTCGAACTTTACTGAATAAGCCATTTTTTATATCATTAAACCACTACCAAACAATCATGTATGATTGACCATATAAGTTGTGAGTCCTATTTAGCTGCTAGTAAGGATACCTCATTCAATTCAAAGAGATACTAAAACTTAAATTCGTCACGTCGAAAAACGCGATAAAAATTAAATTGGTATGTATATTCAAGTATTTACAACTATATAAATATATCATTTAAATCAACTTTGATTGTTATTTTATTAATAAGTAAATTGCAAGAAAAAGTAACGTACTTTAACTTGATTCTTATTTTGGATAACGTACTTTTAAAACTTCCATTTTATTAAAACTTACATTTTGGTACCTAAAATGTAAAGTTTTAAACACTTAAGTATCCGGGCAACCGGTTGAAAACTATTTTTAGATTAAAAAAAATCCATGTCACTAATCACGTTAGCAAATAATAATAAGTTGGATACCACATCACTCGCTACATCAATATGATAACCGGTTAATGCTTCAACCAGTTACCTGGGTACTTAAATGTTTAAAACTTTAAGTCTTATGTACCAAAATGGAAGTTTTAAAAGCACCTTACCCAAAATAGGAATCAAGTTAAGGTATGTTACATTTTCATATAATTTACCCTTTATTAATTTATAATCATATTTAATATACTAGTTATTTACAAAATTTCAAGAAAAATTTGCTTGGCCAAGCTATCGTAATCCTACCAATTTCAACTCGTCTTAAAAATCCTACACGAAAAACTCAAACCCTGCTTTGTTATGGACGGAACGACTTTGCTCAAATACAAGACAGATCCCAGATTCGATCTCGGGTTTGTGGCTAGCTTCATCCGTTGATTGAGCCAAAAACGTCTCTTATATTGACGTCTTTAAAGACAGTTTCGTGTGAATTAATCAACTTATTGACCAAATAACTCAAACCCACTTTAACTAACTATTCAAACCCTACACGACCATTTGTCACTATAATGTCGTCGTCATTAAGTCGTTGTGTCACGTGGTATCTTGCTTCATGTATAATTAAATACTGTGTTCATCTGTTTTAATTTATTACTGTGATCTATTTGTAATTTTTTTTTTGTAAGGGTGTCCGGGCCAAAGCCCGACTAATCCCCGGCAAATTTGGAGGCTAAACATGGCCCCACTTAAATGTCGCCAACACTCCCCTCCCAGGGCTCGAACTCGGGTTCATGACTATGTCATGCCCAAGCCTTTACCACTAGGCTGGAAGGTCTTTGACTCAGTCAGTTAACAACCGACCGCTATACGATGGAACTATTGAGAAACAACAGGATCTAAAGATACCCATTAACCATAATCTACAAAATATAGACCCCTCGCGACTTTCTGGTTGTCATCGCTTGATCACTTTCTTTTCCATTAAGTGATTGCTTAGGGACCTTAGTGCAGTGCAGACAAGAGTTTTTTTTACGTATCATTCTTCTATCTTTCCATTATTATAAACACAGTAAACTAAGTATTACTGATCCCTTCTCAAAATTATTGTTTAAATTACTATTTTAGTTTGTTCCAAAATAAATGTCTGGTTTCTCATTCTACCTTTAATTATATGATAAAAATTAACCTCTAGACAGTAATGCCAACGTTGTTTTTTTGTTAATTGAAAAGAGTTACAATATAGTACTAATACTGTGTATTTTTTTTATTGTGGAAATTTAATTTGGGAATAAAAAAATATTACAATTTGATCATTTAATTTTGAATGTTAAATTAAATTAATGATGAGTTAATTTTACAATTTGATCATTACAATGTGAGATAAGATTGTTTTCGTGAGACACAATTTTTAAACTTGAAACTTCACAGTAAAGCACTGTGAAGATAAAATTTACAGTGTTTTTACAGCAAAAATTCGGTTTTTCTTACATTCACAACATTTTGTTGTGAAGTTTCAAGTATAAAAACCGTGTCTTACGAAAACAGACTTTCACTTTCAACCCAATTCACCGTCTACGTACCTTTTACGTACCTTTTATGTCCGGTTTTATAATATACTATATTATAAAACATTTGACAAAAACTCTTAAAAACCATTTTTTATGCATGAAGTACTGTTGACTGATGTATATTACATAAAATTTAAGATTACAAGTAATTTTGCGTAAGTACAACTTATTAAAGCTCAATTTTTAAATTCGTGTAACTAACTCCTGATAAACATAATCAAATACAGGATAAACATTCATTTTAAATATAGAAAATTTAAAATATAATTAAGATAATTATTGAGTTTTAACAGAATRYTTAATTATTATTTCTATAAAAAATTAKATTATTAAAACAAAAATAAATTATTTTGTTATTAAATYTAAAYTAAATTATAATAAAAAATTGAATTAAAGAAGTTACAAAAAAAATGAGAACTATTAAATAGTTAATTTGATCATATTATCAATTTATTTATTTTTACTAAATTTTATGTTATTTTCAAATTTATATTTTAATTCAAAAATAAAAACATTTTCATTTTGTCAAAACCACATAAAATCGTATTATATCGATAAAGACAAAAAATAAAAACTAAACATTAAAATCAAGATTCATCTTTCTACATTGCACGAATATCCTTCTAGTATATATATAATTTTTGTAGTTAAAAAATTATTAGAAAAAAGAAATAAAAGAGAATATCGAGACATAAATGAACATCGGTCGGATGAAGTCGGTGCGCGCCTACCTTATAATTTCACAACCACCCACATTGAATCACAACTCAAGGCACCTTTAGCCGACATATTCCACTACCTTTTCACATATCCAAACCAATCCATAAAATAAAGACCAAATTGAAATGTTTTTTTCTTTGTATTTTTTTCATTGTTTATAATGATGGCAAAAAAACCCGAAACCGATGATGAAAACTGAAAACCAGAACTTTCGAGCCGGGTTCGGAGATATCTTATCGGGAACGGGATGGGGATCGGGAACGAATTAGGGGATTTTAACAGGGACGGGGGCGGGGACGGTGATCACCGACCCGATATGTATGTATATATATTAATTTTAATTTATATATATATATATATATATATATATATATATAATATTACTATTATTAAAAGAAAATAGTAACATTAAAATTTAGAAGACTTTTATCCATTTTACCTCAACAACCCAAATAAAACTCACGAAAAATCTAGTTTATTTGTTTAAAATCGTGATTTTAGTTGTACGATGTTTGAATTTCTGTTTAATTTTATATTGTAATCTAATATATTGTTTGTAATTGGTTCGATTATGTTTGAGACATTTAAACTTACATCTTTAAAAAAAATTGTAATTTACTTTTAATTGTGAAAATTAGCATATTGTAATTTTTTCCAGATCGGTTTCGGGTTTCGATTTCGGATTCAGGTTCGGTTATAACCAACGGTGAAAAAGAGGATTTTTACCCTTAACGGATTCCTCAACGGGGATCTGGGAAACCGCTGGGACCCGATGGGGATCCCTGATAAAATCCCCGACGGGGATCGGGGCGGTTACGGGGACGGTTTTAGCTATCGGTTGCGAGGACGTGGATACTAATACCCGGCCCATTGCTATTCCTAATTGTTCATATCAGTTTTTAGGTCTCTATATCTATATCTATACTATATTATAAAGCATTTGGCTAAAACTCTTAAAAACTCTTAAACTCTTAAAAACTCTTAAACCCGTTCATCCTTATCCGATTTCATCCCATATTTGAATTCGTGTAACTAACTGCATACAAACACAATCAAATACAGGATAAACATTTCATTTTAAATATAAAAAATCTAAAATATAAT